ACAGTAGTTTTTTTAGGGTTCTCAGAAAGATTTACATTAGGAAACGGAAACAATATGATTGTTAGACTCCACCCCCCTTAAATAAAAAATGGAAGTAAAACCGGAAGTAATTTTTTTTTGCAAATTTTAGATTGTAAAATGCCACGTTTAAGAAAAAGAACTCGGTTTGAGAACTCGCGACCCCGTCCAAATGTTTTGAAACACCGTGAAAGAAACCATAATTTTCAAAACTAAATCCGGAAGTAGGGAAGTAAATACTTCCGGTTTCATAATTCTAAATTCAATCAGTAAGTATAAGAAAAAAGTAGACGCGGTCATATTTTAAAAATACGTTGAAAATTAGGACTGTAAATTTTGAAGAATGAAACCTGTAGAATTCCTATACTTTACTATAGGAAAAGGGAGGATTTTCCTATAGTAAAGGAAAATTAGGGGGAATCTACTCAACAATCTGTTTAATTATTCGAAAAAATTATTCTCCTATCTATCACCGGTTAGGAAAAGTATTGCGCACAAGAAAAGGGCTTAGCCTTTTAGTATATAAGATATCTGTGTTTTTCAGTTAGACACCCAAAAAAAAGGTACTTGTCTAAATTAGTACAGTGAATGAAGGTAAAAATCCACTATTACCTCCGATTTCGGTGAACCTCCATCGATGTGCATGAAAATTTGGGATTGAGTATACCTCAACTTCAAAAGTGACATATGCTCAACTTGCGTTTTTTGCATTTTTGGGGCTGAAATTCACCCCTTTTGTTAAAAATGGTAAAAAATGCAGATTTAAGCATTCTGGCATAAATTATCTCGATTAATTAAATAAAATAAATATTTTGCAACATTTATAAGCATAATTTATGATTTTAATTAATTTTTCAACCCTTTTAACAACTACTCCTTAAATCGAAAATCATAAAAAAATCATTTTTTATTTTTCTGAAATATTAAATTGAATATTAATATTACCGAAATAGTTTCATTAATGTTTATGATATAATTTTGGATTGACTGTGAAATTTGAACCCTTAAAAACCACCCCCTTAAAGCAGAATCATTAAAAAATGAATTTCAAGAAACTTTAATTATTTGAATAATACATTACTGAATTGAAATCACATTTACTGAGTATTACGGTATTTATTTATTTATTGCGTAATTTTGCATCCTTAAAAACTACCCCTTGTCATAAAAATAATGGAAAATGTTTTTTATTAGCTTTAATAGCTTTAATCATTTAGAAACTTTTTTATTGGTTATAATAGAATTTATTAATATATTCCAAACTTTATTAATATTATTCTTTCCACATTTCCTGAACAATTTTTTCAGTGCTTATGTGAGTTATAAAAATTTAATTTGTTAGTTAAGAGGAAAAGGTATTAAAATAAATATTAAAATATTATATGAAAAGTTCATTCATTTTTTATTTCAGTAATGTTTCATAAACAAATCAAAAATATTAATAGTGCTTTAATTGTTAATTTTTCACTCTTTATCAGAGCTCTCTTCACCAATTTCTCCTTTTTCATTAATTGGAGGGCTATTTTGGCATTTGTCGCCACTGCATGATCCGCAGACTGCATTGCAAAATAATCCTACTCTTCGACACCCGCAAAAAGTGCCGCATCCTTTTTTGCAGTTGCAAAAAATCATTTTTAACAATTTTTCTGGAGCTAGTGGATTGGGATTTTTAATTGGAAATAAAGACTCTTCAATTATGCACTGCATCCCCAGTCAATTGGACGAATATCTTTGTTTCCAAGCCATATCTGGGTTTATGAATAAACTCTTTTGATGTGTTCATCCAATGCAGCAACTGTTGGAACCAGAGATGAAAACTTTACTGCACTATTTTAAGTGGAGCATGATAAAACCGAGCATATAATTTCACGATCTTATGCATTCAGAATCCAATGTTATCGAACGTAGCAAACGCAGTAGAATTTATGTTCAATGCTAAATATATGGATGTTTACGCTTCGGCTGCTTGCATATAACTGAGTTTTGGCTTCTCCCTTTATCGGTGAAGTGACCTTGAACGTTGCAGCTATATCTGTTGAGTTATATTATACTGAGTTGAGTTATACTACATACTAGAAAGTCCCACTATGTTTTTGAGCAGATATACAGAATTCCTTTCACAAGCTTCTTCTATCTTCAAAATATACATACACACATCCACACATGTATATTTCGTGAGCACATACCTATCGACACGTCTACTTCTTATTACCTATCTTTTTTCCTTTATATACATACAAGATCTAGACTCCAAAAATTTTCCTAAAAGAATGTTATTGATTTTTTTATATATCAGGTTCATTCAAAAACCATTTGAAAGGTAATTTCAAGGGCTATAAAGTCGTATTAAATTTAATCTTTAAAATCCCTAATTTTTTAAAAGATAAAAGGTTAAAGGGCCCCGGTTACATGGTTCGCTCAGTAAAATTTAGGTTTTAAACGTTTTTGTCTCAGTTATTTTTTATCCTACAAAAATATAAAAAAGGAAAATCTGTGTTAAAAAAAACCTTAAATTTTGTTCTGTCATTTTTTAAGTATATTGAGTATACATGGAGTTATTCCCAAAAAAAATGAAATTTATGAAAATTTTAAAAATTATGATTTTTTTAAATCAATTTTTTTTCAAAAATATGAATTTGAAACCGGTCACAATTTTTGAGGCCATTAGTTTTGCTAAAATAAAGAAAGTCTTATAGGGATTACTTACTATAAATTTTAATTTTCGTGGAAATGGCGTATGTTTTATTTTTCACTTTTTTCAAAAAAAAATCGAAAGGGTCCTATTATTTTCATCATAACTTTCTTAACTTTGATGCTATTAACTTCTTCTAGAGCTCGTTTTATAGGTATTTCTAAGTACTTCAAAAATTGTTTAATAAGTATAATTTATAAAATGCATTGTTTTCCCGTTATTTAAGCTTGAATATTCAGATTTGAGTACTCGCCGAAAAAAAATTACATTTAATTACCTATAACTGACTTTAAATTAATATTAAAAGGTTTTTTAAGCAAGTAATTTATTCAATTTTTTATTAGCTTCAATTTTGGTAATGACAACTTTTTTATACAAACTTATGAAAAACCGCTTTAAAACCTGCATTTTTTTCACGAAAAATCAAAATTTTTTATCTTCAATAACTCAAAAAGTATTGATTTATTTTAATAACTTTAAAAGATAAATTTCATTTAGATTTGGTCCCTCTATCGATTCCTGGGGTTATTTTTAATAAAATAATTTCCACCTTCGAGAAGGGGTGGCATCCACCCCAGCGTAAAAGCGCAAGTTGACACCTTGTCAGTTTTGTTTCTTAAGGTACCCTCTAACTACTCACCAATTTTCATGAAAATCGATGGAGGTTCAACGAAGTCGGAGTGAAAATCTTCAGTGACTCTACTAAATATCTTACAAAGGTATATTCGTTTAATTTTGAAATTGTCCTAATAGACCACCGTCATGTAGTCATGTAACTTTTAAAACATGTATCGGCTGTGGATTAAAGTCAGTGTTCGATGCAGTATATAGCCAAAATAGAAGGCTAAGAAATTTGGGAATTGAGTTAATAAAAGAATATAAATGGGATTCAGAGCCTCGACATCAGGTTTACACTCATATATTCAGTCTGCAATTGCCAAATACGGCATCTCGAAATATCTAGTAGCTTTAAGTTACGCTGTAGACAAAATGACGTATAATTCGCCTTTTTTGTAGCAAAATAGAATCACATGCACTCATTATCACGACAGCCGCAGCCGCTGCAATTTCCATGTCGGACATGTTGACGTCGGCTCTAGAGGGAACAGACTGATATCACCCCAATACTCAACCCAATATGTGAATGCTTCACTGAACGTGGGAACACAGTTGACCCAACGTTGACTCCAACGTTGGCGCCAACGTTGGATCCCATGTATATAGCCGGCCTTAGCTTAAGGCTACAATAATAAACACAACATGACCGTTTCCACTAAACAGACTCGAATTTCAAAACACGCCGAAACCCAATGTTACCGCTTCCGAGCAGGACCCGAAAAACAAAATTCCTGTTTCAAAGCACGCTAGTCTTCAAAAAGTGTGCGAAAAGTTGCAGTTTTGTTTTATTCAACACGAGTTTGTGTTTTATTTTTGTTTTGTCCGTTTAGCGGAAAATTGCCATAATCTAGATGATTTGCTAAAAAAATATACAGAATATATGGATTAAGATGGGGGTCTCAGTAAAGCTAAATAAATAATAATATTGATTGATATAACGTTGAATGCTCGAATAAATGAACTTTAATAACTTTGAGACTTCAGTTGCTCTCAAACTAACATCCTAATTATTATAGACAGGTTTGAGTGTGAGATCTGTATTATTCAATCTACTTAAAAAATATTCTATATAATTTCATATTTCATCAGTTGATTTCATATAGTAGTGTCAGTTGGACCTTTGGTCAATACTTAGTTTCATAGAATTTTGAAATGTGCAGATCACATATCTATGATTGTAACTGCCCATCCAAGCTGTCATTTGTCACATGTCACCTCAACACTTCCGTTAGACCGTGAGCCATTCTGTCTCCGGCTTCTATACATAATGTAGCTTCGCCTATTTTCAAAAATTTTAAAGTGTTTGCTTGTTCTTGTGTAGTCTATTGTAATGTACCATTTTATGTTTATGACATTTTATTCTTGTCGGATAGGCTGCAATTGACGAAGTAAGTCTATAAACGTTAATCACATAAAAACTTTTATCAACCATATACTTCGAGTTTTTATCGAAGTTAATTAATTTCTTTAGTTAAAAAAACGTTTCTTGGCTTATTTCTGATGCCCCTGAAGATGATCTCGGGATCGAAATTACTTGGGCAAGATTAAATTAATACTGTGATCGATATTTGCCTTTTATATTATCAAAATAATAATATTTCTCAGCTAATCATTCAAGGAAAAATTATGGTGAAAGAAGGCATAGCGGAAGAAAAAATTATTGGCTAAAAAACTACTAACGAATAAAAATATTTAATTATCAGACATGCAAACTAATTTTTACGCTTTTACGCACTATGACTCTTTAATGTTCTTAATAAATATATTGTTTTAACTTTAATATAACTTTTATATTTTTTGAATTGATACTTAATAATATTCTTCTTCTTTTAGGTGCCTTCAGCCCTAGTCATTCGTCCAAAAACCACAACGGAACCATAGTTCTTCGTCCCAATAAGCAAAAAAAGAAGAAAAACGTTTTACGCAATGCTTGTAGGATATAAAAATATGTATAGTGGTAATGCAATACCAAAAATATTTTGTTTTGGAAATTATTTTGCCATGTATAATAATAAGACATTATAATAGGTATCATATGTTTGTTGAATGTATTTTATTGTCATAACATTTGATTTCATAAGAATAAACGAATATAACTAATAGTGGTGTTAATGTCCTTATCTTTCAGATTCCCAATGAGTTAACCATTTTTTAGAGTAACATTTGTGTAGATATTCTTCATACACTGTTTTATGGAGTTTTTAACTTTGTAGTATTTTTTTCACATTTATTTCATATTTGTCTTGTGCCTCTTACTACGACAGCTAAATTGGCTTTTCTGTGCCAGTTCTGCGGCTAGTTAACAATTTCGTATAAAAGATCAGGATCAAAATCTTATGAAATGATATACAAAAAGAGAGTGAATGAAAATATAAACGCTCAGAAGTTCTAGACAGATGTTTCTAGAAACATAATGCTTATGCCTAATTCGTGAAAGAAATATTTTAAGTTGGTTAAACTGAATGGGATACTTATAAGTCAAATATAATTCTATAATTAAAATAAATGTTCTTTTTTCAATGAAATCAAAAGTTACAAATATATAATATGTATATTTTGCCCTAAGGCCACTGGTGAAGTGCTAATATATTTTAATTTTAACCTACCCTAATTGTATTTGTTGACACCCAAATTGTAACATACAATTAATAGACTAGAGATTTAAAAGTTTTTTTTAAGTTTGTGACCTTGATATGTATGTTTAAACTTCTTTACCATTGTAGTTTGAAAATAAATTGTTTGTCAGTGAGTGTAGTATTGTTTATTATTTGTGGAGGACTAGACGAAGAAAACAATGCAAAGTAACAAGTAACTAAAAGTTTTAAGGGGTGCTGGAAACAAACAAAGGCTGAACATAAAAGGAAAGGAAAATACTTACAAAGCAAAGGGGAATTACACATAGATACTTAGAGTTTTGTTCAGAATTTTATGAAGAAGATACTGAAATACAGCATTTGATTTGCTTCAAGCGCGACTATGGCGATATCTACCCCTCCATTTAGTCCGCATTACTGAACGTCTTTTATTTCATTGTTTTATATGGAACAAATTAAACATGTGACAAACAAAAGTTTCTTCTCGTCTGTTTAAGTTTTATTAGTATTGTAGAAAGATTGGTTCGATCAGGGGTATTATCTATCAAATCAAAAGAGCCATAGCTCCATAGAATTTTATTTTTCAACGCCGCGATTTAGCACATATAACTTAAAGCTTTTTGTTGCAGTATTATCCTAATCTTTATATTTCCTTTAAACTAACATGTATCTTCTTCAGATAACTTACAAGTCCACATATTATCTTATTTATCAGTAGGTATAGTTCGGTCGTTTTGTGAACAGTCGGGCACACAGGACGCCATCTGTCACGGCGGGTAGCGATATCTGACCGAGCCCGGTGGACTATCTAAAGCTTGCATCATCCTCTCGTCACAGAAACTAGGTATACTCCATTCCACGAATATACGACTTTTTTAAATCGCTGTAAGGTGTCGATTCAAATGGTCCAATGTACTGAACTGTACAATAGTAAATTCTCCCCATTTTTAAAATACTGTTACGACAGATATAAACCTTAGATTTAAATATGAAGTCATGATATAAATATAAAGTTAATAGTTTATAAAACAGTTGTAATTCAGATTTTGAAGTATATAATTACTATCATGGAGTTTATTTTTTCATTTCAATTATTTCATTGTAAACAAGTTGGTTTTTGAATTATGTGATTTAAACGAAATGTAACAATACTTAAGTGATCAAATAGTGTAAATTTTTTAGTCGAATATTCAAATTATTAAATATATTAAATATATTAAAAAAAATTATTTATTCACTTATTCTCTTAATCTTCTAAAACTATCATCAACGATCAGATTCACAGCCATAATCAGTCGGCGATATATGAAACTGTATATAAATTTTCGTTACTTTTTAATATCTGTACCGACTCCGTACTTTAACTATCAATAGCCGGTATGTTAAACCCGTTACCTTCGGAACTTTTAAGAGTACATAAACTCACTTCAAACAAATATTTAAAATTAACAAAGTGAAATATTAGATCCTTTTTCTGGTTTGTGAACCATCGTTCTGCCAATTTATTTTCATTTATATTAAAAATAGTATATTTCTTTTTATTACAGTTGTAATACCTAATAAAGTAATAAAATGTGTTACATCAAAGAAACCCGGCACGCCTCTTTGGTGTTGAATGAATGTCTGATGAACACATTTGGCTTCATAGACGTTATTGTATTTATTTGTAGATTTTAACTGAAATAAGTTTAATTTAGATGTTATACTAGTATAACTTTTACTAGGCAATCGTAGTTTGCTACGATTGTCGCACAAGCCCTTATTTCCGTTGAGATTATCGGTTTACGGTAGTATCGATCCTTGCCAGTAGACCAGATCTTTAGACGGACGAACATGGGTATTATAATCTTTTCGATGTTGGAACTCGGAATTGTCTGTAGACGACTTACGTACCTGGCAGGGTGTTGTACCTGGTAGAGCAGTTTCCACGCTGCGATCTATTGAGACTCAGCCCTCAGCTTGGGGATTCGTCTTTTCGGTTAGATGAGACCCCTGGTATTAAAAAGAGCCTTTTAGACCCTTTTATTGGAATAATGATTAGACCAATTGACCTTATACTTCTACTTACACAGTAAAATATTTGTTGTCGCAGTAAACCAAAACAGTCGTATATTCGTGGAATAGCCTATACGTCACAGTTGTACAAAATTACACATTTATTGCGCGATCAGTTTGATAAAATGAGTGAAGAAACTAAATTGATCATTGAAAAAGTACTAAAATATGTATATTTGTTTGGCGCTTTTCATGAGTATTATAAAAATGAAAAGAAGGCACAAGAATGAAAACATTGAAGAAAGATTTACCCAGTTGTTAATAAAATCGCTATAGTTATTCAAACTTGTTTATCTTAGAGCCATAGGTTTGTATGATGTTTATGTTAACTCTTCCAAGCAACTGAATAAGTGTGTGTTGCTGTATTATGTTACTTCTAAGGCTTTCTCCCAAAAACTTTAGCGTCATAGGGGCCGTTTTGCAATATAATAATCGTCTTCAACAAGAAGTTGTCAAAGATATTAAAAATTTCTCAAAGTATGGTTATTTGGGCTTGAAATCTGCCTACGTTCAGAAGAAAAGATCATTTATTGTTACGACAGCTAGATGAACTCATATATAATTAGTTTCTAACTGACACAACTCAGTTACTTATATTTGTGAGAGGTATTGATAAGACCTTGTGTTACGCTTAGTTTGTAATTGTTAGTACGAATTAGTTTGCACGCTTTTATTACGGAAACCAGCTCATCCCAGTTTTTACCAGATTATGAACAACTCTCAATCACAGTTTGATCTGTCACATACATCTTCTTCTTTAAGTGCCGTCTCCAAATCAGAGTTGGATATAATCATCACTATCTTTGCTCTATCTGACGCTGCTCTGAAGAGTTCTACTGAACTGCATCTAAACCACTCACTCAATTTTTCAACTAGACACTCTATGTCTTTAAGATTGTTTGGTAAATGATATTTAATTCTGTGACGATTGAACTCTTTGCACTTTTCCACTAGCACATGTTTTACCGTAAGGGGTGAACAGCACTCATCACAAATTGGGCATTCTTCTTTCTTAAACAAATGTTCATGAAAAAACTAGTTATGTCTAAGTCGTAAACAGGAAATAAGTATTTGTTTTCGTCTAGATACCTCGGTTGCCATGGTTTAATTTTATTTTTTTTTTCTCCTGAAGCTTTGATTGTGTGGATTTCCATTTATTGTTCCAGTTCTCGAACAGGTACTTTATTAAGTAGGTTTTTAGTTCCATACTTACAGATTGGGGTAATATTGAGATACTGTTGTCGTTTATAGCTTCTTTGGCGTTTTTGTCTACTGTTTTGTTACCTGCTATTCCAACATGTGATGGGATCTAGAAAAACTTGATGCTTGTATCTTCAGTATGCAATTTATTTAGTTCTTCGTTCTTCCTTTATTTTTTTTCGCAAGAGAAAAAAATATGATCATAATGAGCACATATTTCGAAAGAAAAGAAATACACAAGGAAACATGGATATCGCCAGATAGAAAGACTAAAAACCAAATAGACCACGTGCTCATCGAAAAAGGGGAACAGCAATGTATAAAGAAGATAAGAACCTACAGAGAACCAGACGCTGACTCAGATCACTACATGGTGGGTATCACAATTAAGCAACTGATACCAGAAAACAAAAAAATAAATAAATAAAAAGAAATGTATACATAACCCAATTCGATTAGCAACAAAAAAAGAGCAAGAAATATACGAGGAAACAATGGAAAGAGAACTAAAAAAGATACAAATAGAAGAGCAAACTGAGAACAAATGGGAAAACATAAAGCAAATAATGAACAAAGCAGCAAAAGAATGTGATAAACAAGAGAATAAAAAGATGAAAGACTGGTTTGACATAGAGTGCCAAAAAGAAATAGAACTAAGAAAATCATTAAGGATGGAAATGATCACGAAAGAAACAATAGAGACAAAGAATAGATATAGGGAGCAAAGACAAAAAGTAAAGAGGGTGCTGAGAGAAAAGAAGAGAAAACACATAGAAAATAAGCTAAAAGAAATAGAAGAGAATTACAGAAATAAAAAAAATAAAAAACCTGTATCAAGATGCTAGAAATGAAAAAAAAAGGTTTCCAACAAAAACCCATATTCGTTAAAAACAAAGCAGGAAATAATATAAGCGGGGAAGCAGAAATAGTCGAAAGATGGAAAGACTATTTTGATGAATTACTAAATGGTAATAATAAGTCAAACCAAAGAGAATATATGGAAGCAGAAGCAAGAATTGAACACATAGACGACATAGAAGATAATTCACCCAGCAAAAAACAAATCCAGGAAATCATAAAAAATCTGAAAAACA